CCAACAAAATATGACCCGTATGCATAGGTACTACGTCTCACAATACTTCGTCATGATAACTACCAATTCAAAATTTTATTAACACCCTTCTATTCACCTTAACTTCCCCCACATTCATTCAACCACTGTAATCCATAAGGCCTAGAGTGTGTAAGCATAGTTATTCTCAATTTTTCTACCAGATTAGTGCTAGCTACATTTTACTACTCCCACCATCAATGATTATGCTACATACCTTATTATTGATGTGGCGCCGTATATGAAAAATATTTTATTTTTGCTGCTCCAAGTCATCCGCCTTGATTTGAGTGTTAAGAGCTCGCCTCATAACCAATAGCTCGCCAACAGCATATTCTACTCTACTTCCATCACTAGTCTCCTCCAATTTAGACATGCCTTCATAATCACTCTCACTTTCACTCACCACCTCTTCATTATCTCGAAAAATCATCGCTCTTTTGTTGGACATTGAGAAGTGATGTGCCCCGACCCCAAATACCAAAAGCATTTAATGTCACGATTCCTTGATGGCTAGGATTCCAGTTTCTTGCTAGCATTTTCTTCCTTTTCCTTCAGCAATTCAGATTTACTCCTAGAAATAGCCACATCTCCTTTGTTGTTGTCACACTTCATTTTCAAGGATGAGTTAGAACCCGAAGCACCCGATGAGTACATTGTTGTCCCCTTCCTCTTCAATTGCCTCTCCACCTTCATTGTCATGCGTAGTATGTCTTCTAATTCCACATAGTGTTATAGCTCCACTACATTACCTATGTCCCGATTCAACCCGTTCAAAAACCTGCCCATAGTGGCATCCCAATCATCTTCCATATTTGCCCTAATCATCAACAACACCATCTCCTTGTGATAGTCCTCCATACTCTTTGATCCTTGGTAGAGGTTTTGTAGTTTTTTATGAAGCTTTCAGTAGTAGTGATTAGGTACAAACCTCTTCCACATGATAGCTTTTAAGTCCTCCCATATATTGATCGATCGTTTCCTATTTCTCATCTTTATTGTCACCACTTGATCCTACCAAGTGATTGCATAATCGGTGAATTCAAGGACCGCTATCTTCACATTCTTCTCCTCCGAATAGTTATGGCAGTCAAAGATCAATTCAACATTTTTCTCCTATTCCAAGTCTGCGGATCATTCCTTCTTTTGAATGGTGGAATGGATATTTTTATGTTGCCCATATTCCCATCTATCTCGTCTCCAACCAAGTTTCTACCCCTTCGTTCAAGACTAGCTCCTATATTTCTCATCATACCCATTTCAGCCTCCTCGTCCACATCATTCCCATAATCATATTCTTTACGCACTTCCATCCTAAGCTCTCGCCTTCCTTGTCTCCGTATATTTGGAACTCCCTACGCAAGTTGGCAAACTCAATATCTTATCTATCCAATCTATCCCGCACATCTTCAAATAATCATTCAAACCTACGTATTATCTTATCTGACATGTTGGTTTGGTTGTTGTTTCGGCTTGGTGTTGATATGTCCCTGTCAGACATCTTAATTCTAAAATTTATTTATGTCTCACAAATGTGCGCTCGTGTATCACTCAATTCAGTTTTTTTCCTCTATTGATCTCACCACTCTGCCTTTTTTCACTCAATGCTTTCGCCCAAATGTTTCAAATGACAAATTCGAACTCAACCAATAATTACTCTCATAGAATTCAAATCGGGGTTTTAAGTGAGATTTTTTTTTAAGTTGTGAAAACTCAAGAAAGAAAAGAAATTGAATTGGATGATTGAGAATTTGAATTCAAAAAAGCAGTTCTTGAATGTGACACAATAGATAACATAATTGGCCGGCAATTTTCGAAATAAATAATAATAAATATACTTTTTTTTAAATTTGACTTTTCACGGAATTTTCAGAATTTTTTTTTCGACTTCTTTTTTTGGATTCGAAATTCAACTATGATACCGACAGAGAAAACGAAAGTTGATTTGGACACAAAATGAACATAAAAATAACTTCTGAATTTTTGACGAAAAAATTATGGTTCAAAAGACTTAAATAGAATAACGCGAGAAAAAAGAAATAAAGACTCAAACGAAAAAGGAAAAGGATATAACCTTGATTTTGGAACTCAAACACTGGTACCAACTGATATGAACTCACAGAGTAAAGAACTACGAAACCTACGATTAGATTGAAATCAAAACCAAGAAAGCCAAAATAATCAACGTTTTGGATTTGATTCGAAAATAACGAATCAAAATAACCAACAATACACAAAACCTTTTTGATTGAATATTTGAGAATTTCACCCGATTGATTTGAACGTCACAAGAAGAATTTTGATAAGTTCGTGATTTGTCCAACGAAGAACAAGAATTCGAAAGCAAATTTGCCTTTCAATAATCTCAATAATAATGTTGTGTTTTACAATGAAAAGAATGAGTCATAGTTATAGGTAACCCATAAAATCTAGCTAAAAACAGAATTAAGCAACAAAAAAAAAAGCGAAAAATATTATAAAATAGAGTTTTAACTTAAATAGAAGATTACGCGAAATTTAGAAAAATTCGCGTCCAGAATGAACTATGCGGCCGCATAGTGTAACTCTATGCTGTCGCATAGATCAGTTGAAACTTCATTTGGAGTTTTGGTAAAGGGCTATGGGGTCGCATGCCCTGGATAACTCATGCGACCGCATAGTTGTCCCAAACAGCTTCCTCGTCCCCTGCTTGAATCATGTTGATCTATTTGGTTTCTTCGTTCAAGCCCAACATGAAAATTGTTCCTTACTTGTTCTGATCGACATTTCATCCACCATAACTTGAACAAACAACACATCGCTTCTTTCACCCTCTTTGCTCTCAATCGTGTCATCGGAACTCTTTCGATAATCAACAGATCATTTCATGGGCTTGACTTTGACACGCTCGATTCCGTGCTCACATCACCACCATTAATGACTTTTAGATCTACACGAAAGTATTGCATTTTGAGTTACTTTACTTTAAAGTTTTGATTATTTGAAATTATATTAGAAATGTATTTAGAGTGGGATGAATACACAATTTTTTTAGTGGATCTATATTGTTTAAATGAATGAATTTGATAAGGACGATGTTGGAATTTGACCTGGATGAAAATGGTAATCTTTTAAATTTTTAATAGGCATGGATATAGAGTGGGATGAATATATAATAATTGTAGATGTAAATAGCGACACCCTTAAAAATCTTTGGATCTATAATTATTTTTAATTTTAAGAAGCAATTTCTTTGATTACTATGTCTCCTTGAATGCTTAGCAACAAATTACAAATTGGGTCGTGCATGACAATAACCTCAAAAAAAGTGGGGGAAACAAAACAAATATCTACTATTAATAATACTAACAAATTTGTGGGTAAAATACTAAAATAGCTATCATCTAGTATCAAAATAAGAATTATACGAAAATTCGAGGCCCCGAAATTCAAATTTGGCCTAATTTAAACCTGGCGTGGTTGTGTGTAATTGAATTTCTGTGATAAAAGAAATCTTGAAATATTCGGTTTCCATGCATGAGATGATCATAGAAGATCTTGTGTATATCTTTAAATTTCCTTAATTCTTCCAGAGGCTAATCTTCTCTCTCTAACTAATTAATCGCTCTCTCTAATTCTCATCTGTAAAGAGATATAGTGAGAGAAAACTTCTTCTTTGTAACAGCAACCAAGGAATTTCATTCTGATGGAATCTCTCTTTAAAACCCCACTTTAAAACCCTAATAAGTTTCTTTACCATTCTTGAATTGAATGAGAAAAACCCGTTTGATTTCTTGAGTCGGTTACGTTTTTATGGGGGAAGATTGTGGGTGGTCGTCTCTGAATAACTATAAGTCAAGATTTACAGCACCGGATTTGAGAAATTTGGAGATGCTGGAAAATAATCAACAGCCCGATAACGGAGTGTTCTTGCCGGCCGGTGACTGCATTTATGGACTGTCATCATTGCCGGAAAACAATCCTTTTGAGTTTCCGCAGACGGAGAGCAACACTTACCACGTTGGAGTTGATGGCCGTCTAAATCTTGCTATGATGAATACGAATAGCCAAGTGAACGACCGCGGCGGGGGCGGAAACGTTTATCGGCTCCCTTCATTGCCGGAAAACGACTCTTTTCAGGTTTCGCAGCTGGAAAACAATACTTACTATCCTGGTGTTGATGGTCGTCAAAGTCTTGCGATGATGAAAACTGGCGGTGACCAGGTGAACTCTGCCTCCGGCGGCCAAATTTACGGGCTGCCCTCACTGCAGGGAAACAACCCATTTCAGGTTCCTCCACCGGAAATCAGTGCTTACAATCCTGTTGATGGTCGTCAAACTCTTGGAATGATGAATACTAATGGCCGAAATTTGAACCCTAGTAACGCGGATCCGTTCTATGATTTTCCACTCGAGTCCCAATTCAGTCGCCTCGCTGTGTCAACTAATCCAACACCCGTCTTCACGCCACCACCATCTTATGGCCGCGGTACTGTTGTTGGTGGCGGCGGTAGCCGTGGTCCGATTGTTCCAAACAATTTTACTCGTGGAATGGGTGCGTGTTCACAATCACAGTTATCGTATGGAGATCTTCTACAGAGAATGAGAATTCAATCTGCTGCCAGGGGACAGAATATGGATCTCTACACGCAGCCCAGAAATTATTCAAGTTTCGATGATGGTTTTGATGGAATTGCTTCACAATATGGTTTGAATTCAAATGCACTTTCCAACTATGATCGAACTTTCACTGGAGAATCAATTAGGTATCCAACAAGGCCTCGTACTGCACATCGAATTGGTTCACTTCTGCCCTTAGGATATGGAAGTCAGACGAGTTTGAATAGAAATGGGCAAAGGGTTGACACCAATGGCTCGATCGAACCTAACTATAGTTCCCTCTTAACATCTCGACTCCAGCCAAGCTTCACGTCGTTGGAGGATTTGAGAGGTAACATATTCTCAGCGGCAAAGGATCAAGATGGATGCAGGTTCTTGCAAAGGAAAATCGAAGAGGGAAAACAGGATCATATCGACATGATTTTCTCAGAAGTGAAGGATCATGTTTGTGAGTTGATGGTAAATCAATTCGGAAATGCTTTGATTCAAAATTTGTTCGAGGTTTGCAGTCAAGAACAAATGGATGAATTTCTCATATTGGTTATGCAAGATGAAAGGATTCGTATGGCCATTTGTGTTCATATGCATGGGTATGTTGATTCGGTTTGCTTTTAAAAAGTAAACGTCTGAGCCCACACACATTCTTTTAAAGTACATTATTTCAAAATTCATTTTTCGATAAAATAATATTTTTCACACATCAATAACTTTTTCTTACTTTTTAACCACGTATTTTTCATCGTATCACTATTTAAAATACATTCTTTTCTCAATAATATTCATCAAACACCCCCTTATGTGTTTCATTTGTTCTATTTTTGTTGTTGTTTGCCAGAACTAGGGCTATGCAGAAATTATTGGAGCATCTTAAAACCGAAGAACAGAAGTCGACCGCTATATCTTGTATAACGCGGATTACTGTTCCATTGACAAAAAGCTTGAGCGGACATCATGTAATTCAACACGTCTTGAAAGTTTTTTCCGCTGAAGATAATAAGGTATACATGCATCCATGCCATATCTATTTCTTTTCAATTCTTGAATAAACATGTCTTACGACAATTTTATCTTATTTCTTAGCATATATTGAATGCGGTTGCTGATAACTGCGCCGACATAGCAACCGACAAAAGTGGTTGTTGTGTTATACAACATTGTGTAGCACACGCTCAGGGAGAATCCCGTGATCGTCTTGTACAAGAAATAATTGTAAATGCATCAGATTTATCGGTACATCCCTATGGGTATGTATGTTCATTTCATAGACTCGAAAATGGAAAAATAAAAATTATGTACTACTTACATTCATGTTTTGTGTTCCAGGAATTATGTTGTGCAGTATATACTAGGACTTAGGATCCCTCGTGTGACAAAAGATATACTGAATCGGCTTTCGGGAAACTTTACTCAACTGTCGATGAGCAAGTATGGGAGTAACGTGGTGGAAAAATGTTTGAAGGAGTCCCAAGAGGATGAGGCATTACGCATAGTGCAAGAGTTAGTCAGTGATCCACAATGGTTGATGGTTATTCAGCATCCTTTCGGGAACTATGTTGCTCAGTGTGCTTTGGAGGTCTCTAAGGTATGAGGTCCATATTTTCATTTTCTGGCTCATGATGAATGCTATCCATGATCATTTGTGCAATATATTGTCTCTGTATCCTCGTAGCATCGAATTGGTCCCGGCCAAACGAACTTGGGCAAAATGTTTAAGACATAAAATTTCACATTTAATAAAAGATGAAAACATAGACCAATTTATAAGGGTTTGAACTACTCCTCTTAATAAGGTTGACATTTTAATATGGAACTACAGATCTTAACATCGTATCTGAGCCCGTTAAACTCCAACGAGCAATGGGATCTGATTGTTCAAACGAGCCACTATCTTATGGGGATATGTTAAAAAATAAAATCTCAATCGAATAAAGATGAAAACATAGACCAATTGATAAGTGTTTGTGCTGCTCCTCGTTGAATTTTTAAGATTGAACCCAGTTCTTAACACGAAAACCCTAATTTTTACATAAAGATATCTTCACCCAAACTGGAATGGAACTGCATAATGAATTGAGATTACTGCTCCTTTTTTCCTTGATGATATATGATTAATTGGACTTTTTCATGCAGGGAGCTATTCGAACTGAAATGGTTAACTTCATTAATCACCATTATCCTTTCCTGAACAGCCATCCACATGGAAAGCGTGTGTTAGCGCGTACCAGAGGAAACAAAAACCGTGGGTGAAGTGTAAGATGTATCAAGATTGTGATTCTCGTATCGTATGTTATTGTTATGTTGTCCTCCAGTTGTTTGTTTATCTTTAATAATTAAGAGTGTGTGGCGCGTTAGATTAAACGGGTTAGCGATCATCTCTAATTCCGTTGAATTTGACGTACCAAACATGCCTTAAATGTCGTTGTAGACTACTATTGATATGTTTAGGAGAAAAGGATGTGAAGATGTTATTCTGGTTTAGGCTTCTATAGGAAAGGAATTGTGTAGGCATATGTATTGGCATATTGCTAATTAAAATCGAAAAACAAAAAAACAATAGACAGGATTCATTTTGGAGGTTTCTGTTTGCAAATTTTTTTCGGAGTTATGCCATAATTTGGTTGGTTTCATGAAACCAACAGCATTGGAAAACTTAACAGGGAATATGTTGTACGACTAAGAACTCGGTCGAGAGTTTTATGTTGTCCACTTGAATCCAGTTTTATTACCAGATACTACGTCCTCGTCCTCGCCCTCGTCCCCGTCCCTGTGGCTAGCCTAGTAGTTTGAAGGGTCGCGATTAATTAATTAAATCATTTATTATTTTTATCTCTTCTTCTTCCAATAGAGGCTATAAAAATTGCAGAAAGAGAGAACAATTTCTGTTTCTATTGCCACTAGAAAAATCTGAAATTGTATTCTTAATTTTACAATCATATTGGTAACTGAAAAACCGAATGTCTCAACAATTTTGTCTGTATGAAAGCCCATTATCTCAGTATTGCTATTCCAAATGTGTTTATTTATTTATTAAAAAAAAAAACACAACAACAACAACGTTGTTATATAGCATATGGTCACGGATAAAAAAATTTAAAATATAGCATAGCATTTCATTAGAAAACCCATAAGTTGAAATTGTAAAATTAGAAATTTCTCGAAAAAGGCAAATCATAAGTTCTTTCGTTTTGTCTATTAATAAACTATTTAAAGAGATGAAATATTTACCAAATTATTTCCTTTTAATCAGATGTTGAATCAATAATCAAAAAATTAGGATAAAACAAACTTGACGTGATAAATTTTAAATCCGTGCTAGATGCAATTCCAGGTTTGGAAATCCTGTATTTTACAAATTCATACGATTGAGTCCTTGAGTTTCCAAAATAGTGTAAAAAGAAATTTTTCGAATTATTGCCCTTTGACTCGAGCCTGTCGAGGACAGAGACTCAAAATGAGAAATTGCAAAGACTTTACAGTGGATAAATTTATAGCTCTTGTTCATCTAACTTTGGGGAAATTATCTCTTTCATAATAAACAACTTTCTATAAAATAGAACCTCATTTTACATCCACAAGGAAAGGAAATAAAGAAAAACATCGATCATCTACATCGTATGTGACACTCTCCTAAACAAATCAATATAAGTTGTAAATTTGTTCATTACTTTTAGGTCCTGCCTCCAGATTTGAAGGAAAAATGGGAGCGACGCAGTCACCACGGGACCAGATTTTCTCTCTGGATATTACTTGCTGCAGGCTGACTCTATTCTCACCAGAGAGAGATCCAAATTCAAACATAAAATCAGTGCATCGATCACCCTCAATAGAAAAGTCACCCTCGAACCCTGCAATACTATAGATCAGCAAAGAAATTTTCCGAATTGCTAATATTTTTCACTTTACTGGNTGTTATATAGTATATGGTCACGGATAAAAAAAAATTAAAATATAGCATAGCATTTCATTAGAAAACCCCTACGTTGAAATTGTAAAATTAGAAATATCTCGAAAAAGGCTAATCAAAAGTTCTTTCGTTTTGTCCGTTAATAAACTTGTTAAAGAGATGAAATATTTACCAAATTATTTCCTTTTAATCAGATGTTGAATCAATAATCAAGAAATTAGGACAAAACAAACTTGACGTGGTAATTTTTAAATCCGCGCTAGATGCAATTCCAGGATTGGAAATCCTGTATTTTACAAATTCATACAATTGAGTCCTTGAGTTTCCAAAATAGTGTAAAAAGAAATGCTTCGAATTATTGCCCTTTGACTCGAGCCTGTCGAGGACAGAGACTCAAAATGAGAAATTGCAAAGACTTTACAGTGGATAAATTTATAGCTCTTGTGCATCTAACTTTGGGGAAATTGTCTCTTTCATAATAAACAACTTTCTATAAAATAGAACCTCATTTTACATCCACAAGAAAAGGAAATAAAGAAAAACATCGATAATCTACATCGTATGTGACACTCTCCTAAACAAATCAATATAAATTTATGTAAATTTGTTCATTACTTTTAGGTCCTCCTCCAGATTCGAAGGAAAAATGGGAGCCACGCAGTCACAACGGGACCAGATTTTCTCTCTGGATATTACTTGCTGCAGGCTGACTCTATTCTCACCAGAGAGAGATCCAAATTCAAACATAAAATCATGCATCGATCACCTTCAATAGAAAAGTCACCCTCGAAAC